GAGGAGAAATAAGAACTGATACCACATAAACAGAAAAAATCATAAGAGAATACTATGAACAGTTAGATGCCAACAAATTCAACAACCTAGAAGAAATGGACAAGTTTCTTAAAATATGCAGCCTGTCAAAACTGAGTCAAGAGACAGATAATTTGAACAGACCAATCACTAGAAATGAAATAGAATCTGTAATTTAAAACAACAACAACAAAAAACCCTCCCTGTAAACTAAAGGCCATGACTGGATGGCTTCACTGGGGAACTCTACCAATCATACAAAGAAGAACTTATGCTGATCCTTCTCAAACTCTTCCAAAAGACAGACGAGAACACTCCCAAAGTCATTCTATGCAGTCACCATCACCCTGATACTAAAACCAGACAAAGACACTATGCAAGAAAATTACAGGCCAGTATCTTTGATGAATATAGATGCAAAAATCCTCAACAAGATATTAGCGAACCAAATCCAACAACACATAAAAAGGATTATATACCATGATCAAGTTGGATTCATTCCAGAGTTACAAGGATGGTTCAACATATGCAAATCAATTAACGTGATACACCACATCAACAAAAGACAAAAGCCACATGATCATCTCAAAAGATGCAGAAAAAGCATTTGGCAAAATTCAGCATCGTTCATGATAAAACACTCTTACCAAAGTGGGTATACGGGGAACATATCTCAACAAAATAAAGACCATTTATGACAAACCCACAGCCAACATAATACTCAATGGTGAAAAGCTGAAAGACTTCTTGCTAAATTCAGGAACAAGACAAGGATGCCCACTCTCACTTCTACTCAACATAGTATTGGAAGTCCTAGCCACAGCAATGAGACAAGAAACAAAAGGTATCCAAATTGGAGTGGAAGAGGTAAAACCGTCACTATTTGCAGATGACATGATGCTCTATGTAGAGAAGCTTAAAGTCGCCACATAAAAACTATTAGAACTAATAAATGAATTCAGCAAGGTAGCAGGATACAAGATAAATATACAGAAATCTGCTGCATTTCTTTACACTAACAATGAAATACCAAAAAGAGAAAGTAAACTAAAAAAATTCCATTTAAAATTGCATCAAAAAAAAACAACCTAGGAATAAACTTGGCCAAGAAGGTGAAAAACCTATATGCTGAAAACTATAAAACATTAATAAAGGAAACTGAAGATAATTCAAAGAAATGGAAAGATATCCCATGCTCTTGGATTGGAAGAATTAATACTGTTAAAATGGCCATACTACCCAAAGCAATCTACAGATTTAATGCAATCCCTATCAAAATACCCATGACATTTTTCACAGAACTAGAATAATCCTAAAAATTATATGGAACCACATCAGACCCAGAATTGCCAAAGCAATCCTGAGGAAAAAGAACAATGCTGGAAGCAGAAGCATAACCCTTCCAGACTTCAGGCTATAGTACAGAGATACAGCAATCAAAACAGTGTGGTACTGGCACAAAAACAGACATAGAGATCACTGGAACAGAATAGAGAGCCCAGAAGTAAACCCATGTACCCACAGTCAATTAATCTACGACCAAGGAAGCAAGAATATACAACGGGGAAAAGACACTCTCTTCAGCAAGTGGTGTTGGGAAGCTGGACAGCTGCATGTAAATCAGTGAAGTTAGAACACTCCCTCACACCATGCATAAACTCAAAATGGCTTAAAGACTTAAATATAAGACATGACACCATAAAATTCCTAGAAAAGAGCATAGGCAAAACATTCTCTGACATAAACTGTAGCAATACTTTCTCAGATAATTTTCCCAAAGCAAAAGAAGTAAAAGCAGGGCTTCCCTGGTGGCGCAGTGGTTGAGAGTCCGCCTGCTGATGCAGGGGACACAGGTTCGTGCCCCGGTCCAGGAAGATCCCACATGCCGCAGAGCGGCTAGGCCCGTGAGCCATGGCTGCTGACCCTACGCGTCCAGAGCCTGTGCTCCGCAACGGGAGAGGCCACAACAGTGAGAGGCTTGCGTACCGCAAAAAAAAAAAAAAAGAAGTAAAAGCAAAAATAAACAAATGGGGCCTAATCAAACTTATAAGCTTTTGCATAGCAAAGGAAACCATGAACAAAACGAAAAAACCACCTATGGAATGGGTGAAAATTCGCAAACGATGTGACCAACAAGGGATTAATTTCCAAAATATACAAACAGCTCATACAATTCAATATTAAAAAAAAAAAACAGGGCTTCCCTGGTGGCGCAGTGGTTGAGAGTCCGCCTGCTGATGCAGGGGACATGGGTTTGTGCCCTGATCCGGGAAGATCCCACATGCCACGGAGCGGCTGTGCCCATGAGCCATGGCCGCTGAGCCTGCGCGTCCGGAGCCTGTTGCTCCACAACGGGAGAGGCCACAACAGTGAGAGGCCTGCGTACCACAAAAAAAACCCAAAACAAAACAAAAAACAAACAAACATTACAATCAAAAAATTCGCATAAGACTTAAATAGACATTTCTCCAAAGAAAACATATACATGGCCAAAAACCACATGGAAAGATGCTCACATCACTAATTATCAGAGAAATGCAAATCAAAACCTCAACGAGGTATCACCTCACAGTGGTCAGAATGGCCATAATAAAAAAGTCTACAAATAAGGAATGCTGGAGAGGGTATGGAGAAAAGGGAACCCTCCTACACTGTTGCTGGGAATGTAAATTGGTACAACCACTATGAAGAACAGTATAGAGGTTCCTTAAAAAACTAAATATAGAGCTACCATATGACCCAGTAATCCCACTCCTGGGCATATATCTGGAGAAAACCATAATTAGAAAAGATACATGGACCCCAATGTTCATGGCAGCACTATTTACAATAGCCAAGACACGGAAGCAACCTAAATGTCCATCGACAGAGGAATGGATAAAGAAGATGTAGTACATATATACAATGAAATATTACTCAGCCATAAAAATGAATGAAATAAGCCATTTGCAGCAACATGGATGGAGCTAGAGATTATCATACTAAGTGAAGTAAGACAGACAGACAAAGACAAGTATCACATGGTATCACTCATATGTGGAACCTAACAAAAAAAATGGTACATGAACTTATTTACAAAACAGAAACAGACTCACAGATTTCAAAAACAAAGTTATGGTTACCAAAGGGGAAATGTGGAGAGGAGGGATAAATTAGAAGCTTGGGATTAACGTACACACACTACTATATATAAAATAGATAACCAACAAGGACCTACTATATAGCACAGGGAACTCTACTCATTATTCTGTAATAACCTGTATGGGTAAAGAATCTGAAAAAGAATGAATATATGTATAACTCAATCACTCTGCTGTACACCTGAAACTAACACTATATTTAAACTAAATATACGCCAATAAAAATTTTTTTTAAAAGGCACTGAGGGCTTCCCTGGTGGCGCAGTGGTTAAGAATCTGCTTGCCAATGCAGGGGACACGGATCCCACATGCCGCAGAGCAACTAAGCCTATGCACCACAACTACTGAGCCTGCGAGCCACAACTACTGAAGCGCGCGCTCCTAGAGCCCGTGCTCCACAACAAGAGAAGCCACTACAATGAGAAGCCCGTGCACTGCAACGAAGAGTAGCCCCTGCTTGCCGGGGCTCTCTGAATCATGATTCTGTGATTATGCTTATCATTATTTCTCACAGTAATCTGGCCTCACGTATTAAAAATTTATATAGATATTAACATAGATTTCTGCTCTAAAATTTATGGTAAACCAATAACAGTCTTAGCTTTACAGCATAGTTTTGATATAGTTTCACTTTATAGGATAGTTTTTTCCTCATCTTGGCTCTATTCCAAGTGCCAAGATGAGAATGTGTTTCTTTGATATTCCTCACTGACAATCCATATCTTCACACTTATTTTAGTTTCTTTAATGGAACCACTATTAGATTTATGTTCTCTATTACAAGTCGTCTTAGGACCTATTCGGTCCATTTAAGCTTCCTGTTAAAGCAGAATCAATCTATTCCACTGGTTTACAAAGCTTTTGAAGTATCAGAAAATTCTGATGACCTGAATTGATTAAAAAAAACAAACCCTGTGTTGCATAACAGAGGGAATGTTTTAATCCTTAAAAGATATTGATATTATGAATTGATTTTCTTAGCAATGGTGCAGATGTTTCAATTACAAATTCTACTGTCTGAAATTAACTGTACACTGCACATTCTTACTGGAGGTCTGGAACTGATTATACTGTCATATGCTTAAGTCTCCAAGAGGTAGTCCGCTCCAAGATTCTAGGGGCAGTGCGTGTCCTAATTTAGCCAACCTCAAGCAATACAAGAGCCCACAAGGATAAAGACATAAAGGTATTAATTATGTCCTGTCTCCAGAAAAGCTCAAAGCACATGTCCTTAACAGTGGAGTGATAACATTTCCAATAATGGCTATCCAGTAAGAGGTGGGCAAGCATTTGGTTGCATAGGGTATATCCAACTATTATAAACTATTATTAAATGAATGTGATAATCACAACCCATGATGGTTAAGCAAAATCCCAGGCTATGCTAAGGAATTTTTTGAAAGAATTATTTTGTTAATTAGTATAATTTATACAAGAAGGTAGCCACAATTATGAGAAGGAACCTAGGAAGATGGGAAAGTGAAGAAAGGAAGAGAGGTGAACTAATATCATAATATGATTATGTGCCAGGTACTACATATGTGTTATTTCATGTGATACCCAGGACATTCTCATGAAAGAGCTATAACTGCCTTCTCTTTGCAAAAGACAGAACTGACAACAAAGTGTTTGTCCCAAGGTCACATCCCTGACAACACTGGAGCTCGCTTTCTAGGTCAGGCCTGTTGGCTCCAAAATCATGATATTCTCACTACTCTATGCAAATTACCATAGAAAGATTTTAACAGAAGAAAAGCAAATAATATGCTTGGTTTATTTTTGCTGATGAAAATGTCAGCTACAAGCTGCCACGACAGAGTGAGTCACAGTGGACTGACTTACTTCAAGGAGGAATCTCCAACGCCAATGCAACCTCGCAAGCTGAGCTTCCTCAGGAATCCACCGCATCGCTTTGAGATGTTTTCCACCACTCGACCCTTCAGTGGAGAAAGTTGGAAAAAATCTTGTTTCATGCTGCTTATCTAACAGCAAAATAACCTGAAATTTAGGAACTGAATATGTATTTCCAGGTGTAATAGAAGGTATTTTGGAACATTCCTCCAACATCCCACTTCTGCTCCTAGTGTATAAAGGGGCTACAAGCACCGAAAAAATGTTTTCAATGAAAACATTAAGTATTTTTTTTAAATCACACACTATTTTTTGAAAGCCTTGACTCTGGAGTTAGGCCTTCCCTAGCCAGGGCTCATGGCTACTCCATCAATTACAAGGCTTTCTGAGGTCAAGCTTTTTGGGAACACTGCTGTGCTGGGAACACAGAGATCTAAAACAATGTTGCTCAAAAAAAGAAATTCTATTTAAGCTAAACATTACCACTCTAAAAATTTGAAGATGTATCATAAAATCTACTCCTCATTCTTCTTAGCAATCCCCTATTTAAACACATTTGCTTTAAAAATGGGAACTTTGGCTGGTACTGGCAGATACATTAGGGGAGGAAAAAAGAAAATGAACACTGATTAAGCACTTCTACTTTTTCAGGCATGATTTTAACACTTTCTTGTACCTGCTATGGCTCATTTAATATTCACAACAACCACATGGACTACTGCTCCACACTGAAGTAAGGAAGAGTCTATGTATGGAATACAGGAAATCCCTTAGGATATCTCTTAGTATTAATATGCCCTCTGATTAAAGTCAATGGAAAACTAAAAGCCAATCCAAGGAGACTACTCATGGCTTCAGGAATGATGGTTTGGGTCACTCTACCAGGTAAGGAACCACGACCAGCTGAGGTGCTTGCTGAAGACAAAGAGAATACAGAATGGGAAGCAGAAGGTAGTTATAAATACCAACTCTGACCACATGACCAGTTACAGAAATTAGGACTATAATTGTCATAAGTATTTTCTCCCTATTTTATTATGAATGCATGTGTGTGTGGTACAAATATGTATTTTTTCCCTCTCTTATCCCCTTACCATGTGACACAACATGTACTGACTTTATATCATAAGTATTTAAGTACTGTCAATTCTACATCAAAGTATTTAAGGCATAGAATATCAAGAAGAGTGAAATTGACTCTAGGACTTTACCTCCTCTTCTGAGGAAAGCCTGAGTGTCTTTCGGGTTGTACGCTGGATGGCTGTATCATATTAGGTGGAATTATGATCTTTGTTATCGTCTTTATTTGGAAATTAAGTATGGTTAAAGGACATGCCTATGGGTGCCAAGTTGACAAAGGGTGAACTTATGATTAATTTTATGTGTCAGCTTGACTGCGACACAGGGTGCCCAGACATTTGGCCAAACATTATTGTGGCTGTGTCTGTAAGGGTTTCTGGATGAGATTAGCACTTGAATCAGTAAACTGAGTAAAGCAGATTGCCCTCCCTAGTGTGGGTGGGCCTCATCCAATCAACTGAAGACATGAATAGAACAAAAAAGGCTGATTAAGAGAGAACTCCTGCCTGACTGCTGACATTGGTCTTTTCTGGCCGTGGACTTGGACTGAAACATCAACTCCTCTTGGATCTTGAACCTGCCAACTTTCAGACTGAAATTTACACCACTGGCTCTGCTGGTTCACAGGCCTTCTGACTCAGACTGGAGCTACATATCAGCTCTCCGGGGCCTCCAGCTTGCTGACTGCAGATCTTGGGACTTCTCAGCCTCCATAATCACATGACCCAATTCCTTATAATAAATCTCTATGTCTATATTAATATACACTTTTTTTAACATCTTTATTGGAGTATAATTGCTTTACAATGTTGTATTAGTTTCTGCTGCATAACAAAGTGAATCAGCTATACGTATATATATATATATATATCCCCATATCCCCTCCCTCTTGCGTCTCCCTCCTACCCTCCCTATCCCACCCCTCTAGGTGGACACAAAGCACTGAGCTGATCTCCCTGTGCTGTTCGGCTGCTTCCCACTAGCTATCTATTTTACATTTGGTAGTGTATATATGTCAATGCCACTCTCTGACTTTGTCCCAGGTTACCCTTCCCCCTCCCTGTGTCCTCAAGTCCATTCTCTACATCTGTGTCTTTATTCTTGTCCTGCCCCTAGGTTCTTCAGAACCTTTTTTTTTTTTAGATTCCATACATATGTGTGTGAATACAGTATTTGTTTTTCTCTTTCTGACTTACTTCACTTTGTATGACAGTCTTTAGGTCCATCCACCTCACTACAAATAACTCAGTTTCGTTTCTTTTTATGGCTGAGTAATATTCCATTGTATGTATGTGCCACATCTTTATCCATTCATCTGTCGATGGACACTTAGGTTGCTTCCATGTCCTGGCTATTGTAAATAGTACACACGTATCTTATTGGTTCTGTTTTTCTGGAGAATCCTGACTAATACAGATTGGATCCATTATCTTCATTTTTCAAATAAAGAAATTAAATGGTTAAATTGCCAAGGTTACACTTTAGTGAGTAGTAGAATTGGGGTTTATAACAGGTTTCACTGACTCTAAAAGCTGTATGTTCTGCACAATTACCACCTCCACAAGGGAGAAAACATTGAAAAGGCCATTTTGTTTCATTTTTAATACTTATTATCCTCACTTTATAAAACAGCAATCTTGACACTGAACTCTAAGCACTAAGAATTCACTAGGACACATCAAACCACAGTATCACAGAAGCAGGGCTCACACATATTATATCTGGCTAATAACTTAATTCAGTTGAAAATCCAAACTCTGATATTGCTGGTGACTTTATCTATGCTTTCTTGAGTCTTATCTAAGTTAATAATTAGTTTTTGGGGCTTCCCTGGTGGCGCAGTGGTTGAGAGTCCGCCTGCCGATGCAGGGGACACGGGTTCGTGCCCCGGTCCGGGAAGATCCCACATGCCGCGGAGCGGCTGGGCCCGTGAGCCATGGCCGCTGAGCCTGCGTGTCCGGAGCCTGTGCTCCACAACGGGAGAGGCCACAACAGTGAGAGGCCCGCGTACCAAAATAAAAAATAAATATTAGTTTTTGAACCAACACTCCAGACACCTGTAAAATAAATTTCTGTCAGTGGGAGGAAAAACATTATGACTTGGAAATCCAAGATAAATATTTAAGTACTAAATAAAACAGCAAAAACAACTCCACACCAATGTCTACAAATAGAGCACACCATCTATCTTCTCCATTCCATGTTAGTCACGTTTATACAAACTTCCTATTCTTCCTTTTTTGGAGTAAAAGTTTTTGTACTGGAATAAAAAAATTACATTCAGAATTTTCTGTTCCACTGTTTCCAACTAAGAGAAAAAAATGAGTAAATCCTTTTCAAATGCAAATGACACTGTGTAACATCTATTAGATAGTATGTTGTAGGTATGCATTTTAGAAAGAAGGGCTTTACAGAAAAATAAGGCCTAATGGAGAGACCCTTGGACTTATGAGTTTTAGATAACATACTACTTGGTTATTTCTCATTTTTGGCCTCACAGAATCTTTAATGACCATGAAGACTAACAACAAAATGTTCAACTTTTAAAGGCATGGAAAATGCCTAAACATCAGGGAAACCTGATGTTTACTTAGGAGAGAGTGATGCTCAAGGAGAGGCCCAATGCACATTAGTCACCTGCATGTGCTATTCTGCCTTTTCTTTGAAATTCAAGTCATGAAACCCACTGTTCAAGGTACCTACTCTCTCTTCTTACTAGGTGAGGGACCTCAGGTAAGTTACTCAAACTTTTTGTGCCTCAGTTTCTTCAACATGGTGTTTTTGAGAAGATTAAATTAATTAATATACAAAAAGTGCTCAGAAGAGTGCCTGGCACACAGTAAATACTCTTAGTCCTGATCCTTGGCACCTTTTCTATTCTCTCAACAGATCCATAAATCACCACTTTCGTCCCAAAGAAATGAATCTGAGACCATGAGTTTATCCATGGGATGCTTCCCAGTATAAGCATCCAGAGGGTCCTGTTAGTGTCTATGGGAGGCCCCACACTTGGTTCAGAATCAACCTGGACTCAAAGTGGTAGCCCAAAGGGGTAACTAAATAGTATTAGACTATATTTTTCACATGTAGTTCTCTACGTAACTGGTAAACCATAAACTCGTCTGTCGTTGGTAGAAGTACTCAAGTACTTCTGCAATGTGTTTATATAGCTGTAGTCAGCAGTCAGCTAAAATCGTGAAATCAAATAATGCACAAGGTAATGACATTTACTTAAAATAGAATTTTTTTTTTTTGACCGCACTGCACTGCACGGCTTGCAGGATCTTAGCTCCCTGACCAGGGATCAAACCCGCATGGAGTCTTAACCACTGGACCACCAGGAAAGTCCTGAAATAGTATTTTTTAATATCTGAATTTAAAAGTTTTTTATGTGCATTCCAGAAAGTTGTAGTTTGGAAAAATCATCAAAGAAAACTGAGGAGACAATTAAAAAACCACAGAAAAAAATTTTTTTACAAAATTTTTTTAAAACAATGACTCTTTGGCCAGAAGAAATGACCACAATTTTTGGAGTTTAATGTTCTCCTCAACATCACTAAGTAACACAATGAACCATGAACTACAGATTATCAGTTTGAAGGGGAATTACATGTCAGCATGTTTGGGTAGGGCACTGTTGCAATCGTGAAATCTGGAAAGAGCATTAAAGAATTCCTGATTCAGGGACCAGAGTCCAAACCAGGAGCTACAGCTTATCTTTCCAAGGAGCATGAGAAGCCCTGAGGCCCCTGACAGCGTCCAAGCTCAGAGCACAGCAACCTGAGCAGTGGGAAATACTGTGCTCAGCCCCACCTCCTGTAGGGGATTCTGCTCCACTGGTTTGAGATGGGACCAGAGCCTGGCAAGCAGCAAGTAACCTAGAGAAGGAGGTGATGGGCCTCCACCACTGGCCATCAGTTCTTGTAGGTAACACCAGCTTAAGTGAGTCACAGGAAATTGTTTGGGCCCATCTCACTGTTAAACACATTCATTTCCTTATCCATTAAAAAAGATACAAAGAATTTACTTCAATAAAAACAAGTGATAAACATGCTATGTGAATAACTGAATTAAAATACAATTCCAGGGCTTCCCTGGTGGCGCAGTGGTTGAGAGTCTGCCTGCCGATGCAGGGGACACGGGTTCGTGCCCCAGTCCGGGAAGATCCCACATGCCGCGGAGCGGCTGGGCCCGTGAGCCATGGCCGCTGAGCCTGCACGTCCGGAGCCTGTGCTCCGCAATGGGAGAGGCCACAGCAGTGAGAGACCCGCGTACCGCAAAAAAAAATACAATTGTAACTGAGTTGGCTAAACTAGAAATCAATAAGGTTTTACTAACATTGGGTAGATAATGAACTTCAACATCCCCAGACCCTTAAAACAGCACTCCCAACAATTACTATGTACAATGCTCTTTATTACTTCCCTGTTTCTTTTTGGTTATAAATTGGTATTTAATATTAAAGTTGTTTTAAAATAAACTTTTCTCATTTGACCTGGTTTACCACTCTTAAATGAGGATATTTACATATTTCCAGATAAATACACCAGAATCCTGGAATTATAAAGGCTCTAAGGATTATTTCACTTCTTCATTTTATAAATAATATAACTGAGGCACTAAGAGAGTAAATGTCTTAAGTGGCTGAGCTGGAGTTATATCTCATAATTCCAGCCTCATTCCCGAGTCCCTGCTTCTGCCATTTCTCCATTCCTGATGCTGAATTAGAATTCTCAATGGAGTTTTCAGATCAATAAATATTTGTCAAGAGTCTCCTAAGATAAGCATTGAACCAGGTGTTAATGATACAGGTGTGAGGCTTTGAAAAGCTGAGTGGTAAAACTTAGATTATAAACATGATCAAGGGGGAAAAGTAAACGTCTGTTACTGATAAAAGTAAAAAGTAAAATGCAAACAGAATTTTGGTCTTGAAGTATGCAAATATCTTCCAGGTTTTTTTCCTCTCTATTCCACCTTGGCACCTTCATATTAAATCTAAATGCAGCAAAATAAAAAGGCAGGAAAGAGTGAGCAGTTTACTTATCTTTTAAAAAAGTCTTTTGTCTAAAACAAGGTTAACTTACCTCTACATCTGTTTGAAAGTTAAAAAGGTCTATTCTTTGCCAGTTGCTTCCATCCAGGGCTAAGATATTCCAAGCCTGGGAGGTTGGGAGAGATTAGGGTGAAAAAGATATATTTATTGCGACTGTTAAGGAAAGTCTTGATTCAACCTTTATTATTTCCAAATGTTTATTCATGATAGACATTAAGCTGATAATCAAATGTGGAATTATGGTAACATTGTGTTATGTTACATATAAAAGATGACATTTTAATTTTTAACTTGAACTTATCCTCATTCTAATAAAACTTGTATTTCTTGATTACAAATTTGGTTAATACTCTACCTTGGAAATCTGTGCACATCGGCACAAAGTTACTATATCCAAGAAGGAAAATATTCTAGGAAGAAAGGGGAAAAAAAGCACAAAAATAAGATGGTGTTAACATTTTAGAATATTTATAACTTGAAAGATAAAATCTAATGAGCCATTTGGATATTCATAACTTTTTCAAGATTCCTCAATTCGTAATACACAAGTGCACTATAATTGTTCATCACTACTATGACATATTAAATGTTTGCACATTCCAAAGCTGTTTTAGACACACTACACAAGTCCCCTTAACCCAGAATTCATTAAACTTTTATTTCCCTTGTTCTAAGTCATGGACATGGAACAGTAGATCATAACCTGTTCTATTCAAAGACCAATCTCTCGGGACTTCCCTGCTGGCACAGTGCTTAAGACTCTGAGCTCCCAATGCAGGGGGCCTGGGTTCAATCCCTGGTCAGGGAACTAGATCCCACATGCATGCCACAACTAAGAGTTCACATGCTACAACTAAGGAGCTGGTGAGCCGCAACTAAGGAGCCCAACTGCCACAACTAAGGAGCCTGCTGGCCGCAACTAAGACCCCGTGCAACCAAATAAATAAATAAATAGATGAACATAACATCAATCAGTGAGCTGTAGGAGACAACTTTAAAAAAAAGACAAAAAAAGACCAATCTCTCACCTCCCAGGCATTGAGCCTAGTGAGGGCTAAATCATTCTAATTCCTATGCAAACCCCACTTTTGGTGGTAGACGCATGAAACAGGCTCAGGTGCCTGAGCCTCAAATAACACGGCCAAGAAAAGCTCAACAATAAAACCCACTCACTTTTTATCTATCTGCTCACAGGGCAGAAAGATGGAGCTCATTTCCTGAGCAAAAGCCAAGAAGTTACAGAAGATGGGAAAGATGGGGAAAAAGAAAAGCAGAGAGAAGCAAACAAAAGCTTAGTTGACACCAGCAGTCCCCCAGTGGAAGCAGTAGCTGTCAGCATGGCAGGGTCAGAGGGAGGTTCTGACATTCTGGCAGTGGAGATGAGCTGCTGATGATAGCACAGTGGCAAATAGCTGTGTGTGCCTCAGCGCTCCGCAGTCACAGCTGAAAACAAAGAGCAGCTTTCCTGAGAGACAAAGAGTAGATGGGGACGAGGTCAGGGACAAACAATAGGGTCTCAATCCCCAGAGTACCGGAAGGTAAATATGAGGGTCTGTGCCTGTGTGTGTGGAAGGTGAAATGGCAAACAGCCACCTAAAAAGTTCTCCAAAATTCTCCAAAGGTAACAATCAGCAGTGCATGGAAAATCCATGGGCTTGGAGAAGATAGTAGGTCCATAAAACACCAGAGCACTGCACCCTACAACAAAGCACCCACAGGCAGCACCACGGGGCCAGTGACAGTGTAGATACTGTTCTACAATATAGGCTCCAATCATTTTCTAGAGAAAAGCAAAGGACAGAAGCATAACGGCTGCACTGATCTTAAAAGACTCAATGGAACTTTGTACATAGGAAAATGCCGATGGCTGGAAATGTGTACTTACATATATTAAACATATTTCAGGGTGTCTGCACATCTACATTGCTTCTGTGGTAATACATCTTGCCCCACCACCACAAATGTCTGTGTTCTGTGCCATACAACCATTCCACAATGAGCCACAACGGATCGTCAGCTCACGAAAAGACAAGGACCAGATAGAGAAATGAGTATGGTACAGCAGAATCATATCACACACTGGCATTGGGTTCTAAAGTACAAGCTGAAGGTAGAAAGGAGTTAACTAAGTTTCCCTTGAAAATCCCTCAAGAATGTACCATCTTGGAGACCAACATACTCTATCACCTCTCAGTAATAATAACAATACTGATAATCATAGTTAACACTGATTATGCACTTACATGTGCTAGCTGTCACTCTTTAATTGTCACAACAATGCCATGAGGTGCTATTACGATCTCCATTTTACAGATAGGAACACTGGGACCTGCCAAGGCCACACAGATAGGAAGAGCGGAGCCAGAATTTGAACCCAGGTAGTCTGGCTTGAGAGCCCAAGCCCATGACCCTACACAAAGTGCCCTAGAAAGTTTAACACAGCTGTTGTTCCCTCAGGATTAGGCTAGAATCTATTTCTTCAACTGCACAGCAGATGAAGCAGTCTGTGTTGAGTGAGCATGCTGTATGGAAAATATGTTTCTTTCCTTCTTCCTCTCTTTCTTTCTCTTTCTTTCTTTCTTTCTTTCTTTATGGCCAAGCTGTGTGGCTTGTGGGATCTTAGTTCCCTGATCAGGGATCGAACCCAAGCCCTCAGCAGTGAAAGCATGGAGTCTTAACCACTGGACCTCCAGGGAATTCCCAAAACATGTCTCTTTAAACACTAAAATCACACTAACTCAAACAAGATGCTCACACATTCGGACACAAGTGAGAATCAATAGCTGGAACACAAGTTTGCATTTCTCATCTCATGCTTACTACCCAACATTATGATTACTGAATGAAAAAGTAGATTGCCTTCATTATTTACATTATCCCCCTAACACACATACACAGATACTTGAATGTGCACAAGTTAAACAGGCATGATAAGGGACTTCCCTGGTGGTCCAGTGGTTAAGACTCTGCGCTCCCAATGCAGGGGGCCCAGGTCTGATCCCTGGTCAGGGAACTAGATCCCACATGCATGCCGCAACTAAGAGTTCACATACCACAACTAAGGAGCCCACCTGCCACAACTAAGACACAGCACAACCAAATAAATAAATAAATATATACATTTTAAAATAGGCGTGATAAGACTCCAAACTGCCAAATTAAGCCAAATTCCCAAATCACGTTCCAATGAATAAAATAAACACCCTGAATGACAGAGCCTGGAACATTGGTAATAGAAACAGAGATAGCTAAAGGAATAAGAGTAGTCAGAAATCAGGTTCTGGCCCTTCCAAAACTTTTTATTTTTTTCCTGGAAATTGCTTCCTACCTCAAATGTGTTAACTTCACCCTTCATTAGAAAAGCACTAAAATCGCAACTTGGTTATAAATAAATACACACAGGAGTATATAGGAATGGATTTTTTTTTTTTTTTTTTTTTTGGTGTTACGCGGGCCTCTCACTGCTGTGGCCTCTCCCATTGCGGAGTACAGGCTCCGGACGCGCAGGCTCAGTGGCCATGGCTCACGGGCCCAGCCACTCCGCGGCATGTGGGATCTTCCTGGACCAGGGCACGAACCCATGTCCCCTGCATCGGCAGGCAGACTCTCAACCACTCCGCCACCAGGGAAGCCCGTACTGCTGGACTTTGTATTCTGCTTCACTGGTCTGTCTGCCTCTGTGCCAATGAGACCCTGTTTTTATCATGAAGCTTCAAGCTCTTGATGTCTGGTAACGTTAAGCTCAACTTTGTTTTTCTTTTGTTAAAAATATTTATTTATTTATTTACTTACTTACTTATTTAGGCTGCCCTGGGTCTTAGTTGCCACTCGTGGGATCTTCACTGCAGCATGTTTAGTTGCGGCATGCAGACTTCTTAGTTGTGGCATGTGGACTTCTTAGTTGCAGCATGCGTATGGGATCTAGTTCCTTGGCCAGGGATCAAACCTGGGCCTCCTGCGTTGGACCACCAGGGAAGTCCCCAACTTTGTTTTTATTCATCAAAATTACCTTGGTTATTCTTGGCTACTCTTTTTTTTAATTTCCACTTATGTTTTAGGATCAGCATATCAATTTACACAAGAAAACTTTATAAAATTTTATTGGAATTATGTTGAATTTATAGAAACTTTGGGGAGAATTGGGATCTTGACAATATTAAGTCTTCCAACCCAGAAACATGATATACTCCATTATTTATTTAGGACTTCTTTAATTTCTCACAGTAATTTTTGTAGTTTTCCACATAGATGTTTTGTTCATTTTTAGATTTTTCCCCGCTGGTTATTTGATGATGTTACTATTAAAATGGAATTTTTAAAATGTCATTTACTAATTGTTGCTAGTATATATACTTAACTTTCATATACTATGTCTTGCATACAGCAACATTTCCAAATTCATTTATATATTCTAGTGATTTTCTACAAACAAAATCAATACATTTGAGAATAATGACAATTTTCTTCCTTCCTTTCCAATAATTATACTTTTTATTCTTTTTCTTGCCTTACTGAAGTGGCTGTGATCTTCTCTAGTACCAATAATTGTAATGAAAGACATCTTTTTCTCTTTCCCATCTCAGAAAAAGCTGTCACTCTAATCATTGATTACAATGTTTACTATAGGGCTTTCCTCCTGCCTTTTAAATTTTCTAAAGTTACTTTGTTACACACTATAAAATACCTCAGCTTTGCACATGCATGGTTTTAACATCATCTCTTTAACATTTGCTTATTTCCCCTTTTAAAAACATATTAAATATAAGAGCAGATAGTACATAGAGTTCCCATATATTACTGCCATTTTGAGAAACACATAACACACACACACAGTTTCCCCTATTATTAACATCCTGCATTAGTGTGGCACATTTGTTACAATTAATAAATTAAGACTGACACACTGTTATTAACTAAAATCCACAGTTTATGATAAGGTTCACTCTTTGTATTGTACTATTCTATGGATCTGACAATATATCCACCATTATAGTATCATATAGAATAGTTTACCACCCTAAAAATCACCTGTGCTTCACCTGTTAATCCCTTTTATCCTCCTCATGAACCTCTGGCAACGACTGTTTTTTTGTTTTTTTTTTTTTATAAATTTATTTATTTATTTTTGGCTGTGTTGGGTCTTTGTTGCTGCACACGGGCTTTCTCTAGTTGCGGTGAGCAGGGGCTACTCTGTTGCAGTATGCAGACTTCTCACTGCGGTGGCTTCTCTTGTTGCAGAGCACGGGCTCTAGGCACGCGGGCTTCAGTAGTTGTGGCTTGTGGGCTCTAGAGCACAGGCTCAGTAGTTGGGGCTCACGGGCTTAGTTGCTCTGCGGCATGTGGGATCCTCCTGAACCAGGGATCAAACCCGTGTCCCCTGCATTGGCAGGCGATTCTTAACCACTGCGCC